TCCTGGAACTCGCTTTGGAGACCAGGCTGGCCTCGAACTCACAGAGATCCGCCTGGCTCTGCCTCCCGAGTGCTGGGATTAAAGGCGTGCGCCACCACCACCCGGCTTTAAGCTGACTTTTTATTACAGATTTTTTTTAAACCACATCCAGTGAATTTATAAGTCCTGAGATGAAGAGTATTTACATAATGGTCCTAGAAGATTTCTTGTGAGCACAACACTGAGAAGTCACAGCAGTTAAGAAAATTTTGGGGAGCATAGAGCAGAGAAAACTTAGATAGAGGAGATTTTGGGGGTCACTTGTTTGTGTGGTGGCAGAAGTTTTTATTATTTAGGAGAATTTAAAAATCAAGTATGTCAGTTTTTGGCCATTGATTGAGCTGTATTGAGTCCAAGCCATTTGCAGTAAGAAAGGAAGGTTTAATATAATCTCTGAGTCCAACGAAGGAAAGAGAAAAGATCATAGAAGGCCCAGAATGATGTAAGGAAGCTAGAGGCACAGGGAAGAGATAGAGCAGGCAGCACCAAGGGAGAGGCAAGGAAAGGGTTACAGGTCCAGAAGGGCTTAAGGAAGGAGGACTGCACCTCCTGGGAGAAGACAAGGAAACTCCACGGAGAAACTGAGAACAAAGGGAGTAGAGGAGGGTTAGGTGTTGTAGAACAAGGATTTCAATCCGGAGCATCCCCAAATGGACTGAATGACTTGTCTGAGAGAAATATCCCAATCACAGAGGAGAGGCATCCCTTCTCATGTTATAGGGGCAGAGGAGCATCCTGGTACACTGGTATGACTTCTGTACTAGCAGATAGAGCAGGCAGCTCTGGGGTGACACTTATCTAGTAGAGGGGGAGAGGCTTTTGGAAAAAGGGCTGGTTCCAGTGGAGTCCAAAGAGTGTCTTAATAAGTAGAGAATTGCCCACATGGTTGGGGGCCCCAGAGGGCATAGTCAGCTTGAGATGTCCACATGATGAGTTCTCTGAAGGACATAGGAAGCTCCATGAGCAAGAGAAAGACCACCTATTGAGTAGGAGAGGAGAGGTGGATAGTCAGAGCAGGTGAAGGGAAGAAGCAGCTGAAGAGGCAGACTCTAGGCATTGGAGTCAAATGTGGTGGGTAGAAGAAGCCAGCAGAAATATATGATCTGCACATACATACATTATGAGGGTCAAATCAGCAGCCTGATTCAGAGAGGCCAAGGCCCTTGCAAAGAAGCTCATATATGCTACTCCCAAGGTTTTGGCACCAGATGAATGAGTAAATGAGGACATGATGCTCCTAGGTAAGGTTGAGGAGGTTTATTGTGGATATAAGGGAGAGTATAACTAGTGGAGAATGAAAGGGTCCATACTGAACATGACCATCATAATGAACCAGGGCATGAGACTAAAGAGAGAAAGAGAGAGCAAGACAGGAGGGCCAGGTAAGTGGATCATGTTTGATCCAGGAGTGGAGCCAGCCAGGAGCAAAGAGAGAGCAAGAGACCACCTAGCCAAAATGCCTGAGGTTATGTAGGGATCAGAAGCTGGGGCAAGCAAAATAGAAGTCCATCCCCTGGGAGGGAGAGGTGTAGGGTAGGGAGTGAGGTAAGAAGCGCTGGAAGGAGCCAGGGGTACTGAGACTTGTCCTGGGTTTCTTTGGGACGTGACAACTAAGAGATAAGAAAGACTTGAGATATGAAAGTACTTGGTACTGAGTAAGGTACTTGATACTCAGTAAACACTCATACATCATCAATTTTATGTTGTGATGACGTGCAAACAAGTTTGTTCCCATTGATGCAATTTTCAGTTCACTGTCTCCTCTGACTTTATGAAGGCAGTGTATTTCGATATCTGCATGGTATAAGAGCTTCATTGGTCATTTAACTGCTGTGCTCTGTAGAAGCTATAGAAACAGAGATTAGCCACTTAAACCCAGAATAACTCCCCAGCTGATACTGAGATAGGTGACCTCCCTTGTTATGAGGCAAGGTTTGAGGTACTGAGCCTCTTGCAATCAATGTCTGCCCAGTGCTAATTCATCTTCCTTCACATGACAGGTCTCATTATAGTTTGCAGCACTTGTGTGCCTTCTGTTCCAACAAGGTACTTCTAATTTTTCAGGTTGAATGATATCTCAGTAACCCAATGTCATCAAAATAACTCAATCTGCTTTTGAATATCTGTATTCAAGGACAGTTCTTGGCTTGCTTTATACAAGAGCCATGATGTTCCTCTCATCCTGGTTTCTGTGCAGCAACTACATAAAGACCCAATGGATATGACAATCTAGCCTAGGCCTGGTCCGTCATTTAACTTATAGTGATTTGCTTCATTAAGGAACCAGACCAAGAAGAGTTATTCAGAATCTTCCTATACGATATTGACACCAAAGAAAAGAGAATTTGCTTTTCTATTTATTTGTTCATGCATTATTTTTAATTACATGTATGTACAAGCCTCTGTGAATGTGTGTGTAAGTACCCAAGGAGGCATGGAGCATCAGATCCCTGGAGCTAGAGTTATAGGCAGTTGTGAACTGCTCAGAATGGGTGCTAGGAACTGATCTTTCTTAGCCACTGAGGCCATTTCTCCCCTCTTCAGATTTACTCTTAGATTCATAGCTTCAGGGCCGGGGGAGAATGACTTACAAGGAAAGAAAAGGACAGTAGCAGGAGAAAAGAAACAGAAAGAGGAGAGATAAGCAGATCCAAGGAAGAGGGAAGAGGAAAAAGCCAAAATTTTAATCATCATTGAGGCCTAGATTATCATCTGCTTTCGAGTTGCTTCATTTTCTCTCTTTAAAACGTGTGTTCAGTTGTTGGTTTTGGTTTCTTGCAACAGAAAAAGAGAATCCCTTCAATCATGTTGTGGATCAAGGAAGGTTAAGCTGGTTCTTAGTCACACTGTTCTCTCTTCTTTGTGGGTTGACCACACACACATTGTGTTCTCTGCAATGAGACACTCCTGGCAAATGAAGAGGACCAGTAATATTGATCTGAAATACACGTTTTAAGTGGAACTCTCCCCCTCTCTCTCTAGTTTTCTCAGAGAAAATACATGATCTAGGATCTTCAAAGGTGAGCACTAGATTCTGAATCACTGTGTTACAAGGCACATCCATGCACAGCTCCTCCACACGTCTCCATCCCTGTGGCAGCCAGTCTGCCTCTCACTCTTCCAGCTCTTCCACTATCTTTTTAAAGATATTACGGTGCAGTTAATAAACAAATGTTCACAGGAAGCTTCCAGGTAACAATGAAATTCTTTGAAACTATACTCATGTGATGTGTTTCTCCTTTTTGTAATCTGATTTAATGAAAAAAAAAAAAAAGGTAGGTTTTAGGTCTGTTGTGTATTTCCTTCAGGGTATTGTAGATTTTCATCCTTCAAGTGAGCAAAAAAACCAAATGACACCTTGGGAAGGCTCAGTGGGGGGAAATATGTGCACGTGACAGTCAGTTTTTTTGTACCTATGAATAAATACCAGAGAGAAACCAATAAAGAGGCAAAGTTTGCTTTGCTCACAGTTTCAGAGGTGTCATTTTGTGACAGGTTGGCCCTGTTGCTTTGGGCCTGTGGTGTGTAGGGGGAAACATACAACTATGTGGCTGAAATGTGAGAGAAAAGAAAGGGGCTGGAGACCCAGGACCCACATTAAAGGGAACTTTACCAACCTCCATTAACCTTTGCCACCTCTCAATAGACTATTCTGGCTACTAAGCTCTTTCCACTTCATCCTCTAGGGACACTTGTCTAAATGATAGCAGAGTATAAATATTAATCTCAGATAAAACATGACATTGACATGCTGTGGATATCGCTCTGTATAAATAAAATGCTGATTGGCTAGTAGCCAGGCAGGAAGTATAGATGGGACAAGCAGAGAGGAGAATTTTGGGAACAGGAAGACTGAGTCAGGAGATACTGCCAGGCACCATCAAGAGTACCAACATGTAAGATACTGGTAAGCCACGAGCCATGTGGCAAGGTATAGATTTATAGAAATGGGTTAATTTAAGATGTAAGAACTAGATAGCAAGAAGCCTGCCTTGGCCATGCAGTTTATAAGTAACATAAGTCTCTGTGTGTTTACTCGGTTGGGTCTGAGTGGCCGTGGGACTGGCGGGTGAAATTTATCCTGACTGTGGGCCAGACAGGACTGGAGAAAACTTCAGCTACATTGACAACATGATAAAAAGGCTAAGGCTGACTATGTGTTTTGATTTTATTGGTAGCTTCCATTAACTTACATAATCAAAGCAGTTATGAAGATGATTATAAGGCTCACAAGCCTCACAACTAGAGCAGGATAGGAGAAGCATCTTATAGCTGAGTTGATAAACTGAAGCCCACTTTTGCTTTTCAGAATTTCTCCCATGGAGTACTGTATGTGGGGAAAATGGGAGATGGTGAGGGTGTCATGAAAAATATTGATACAAACCTCCATGCTTATTCTGAGGATAAAAATCAGATCAGGAAACCTGAGAGAATAAGAGATAAAGTTCTATCTGGGGACCCAGCAGTTAAAGTACTATATCAGCAAGAGAACCTGAGTTTCAAATGCCCAGCATTCATGTTAGAAAAAAATTTTAAAAAGCTAGGTGTGGTTGCATGTGCAGGATCCTGAAACTCAGTATAACTTCTCTACAGGAAGTCTTAGAAAGGTGTGGCAGATAACATCCAAAGAAGATGATGAGATTTCAAAAACCAAACTGGTATCCACTTGTAGAATGACTTAAACATTCCCACTTTTTAATCCAGTCTCTGATGTTCTTACGTGGGATGTGACGGGGGAAAGAAGGAACTATGTCCTCTCTTTCTTAAGAGAACCTCATCCCTACACAGAAAGATCTCAGTATGTGTTAGGTATAGAGAAACATATGCGGCTTCACATCCAAATACACATATGTATTAGCATCTGACGATCCCCATGATGTTAATAAAAACAAGACTTCCGGTCTGGTTTCTAATACGTTTACTTCCCAGCAGCATAATACCACTTTGGTCAGGTTTAACCACTGCACAATTTTGCAGCTCTTTCATAAAAACAATGAAAACAATTGGAAAGACACGATGTACATGCAATGGTGAAAAAAAAATGGTACAATTGGCCAATCCTTCCCTATACATATGAAATATCCTTGGTTCATCTCTACACTGTGTATTTATAAGCCCTTAGAGCAGGGGTTTTTGTTCTTTCAGTTTTTGTAGCACCAGATAGACACAGTGGCTGACAATAAATAATTCTGAAGTCATTGAAACATTTTCACAAATAGAAATTTTCCAGATCTGAACTTGTATGCATGTCCCTGGCTTGAAGCACTGTTCATGAGAGTATGCTATAAAGTAAGATTCAGTTCTAACCCTGTTTTGTGTTTCTGATGTGATTTGTTGACTATCATGAGTTATAATTTACTAATATCTTTTACTACTTTACAAATTCAAGGTATTTCTATATACAACGACTCATCCATTGAAATGTAATAGTGCTCCCCAAGCCCATATATCATGGTTAGGCATATGAACTATTTTGTTGGACTTCATAGGTTCAAGCCCCAACTCCACCAGCTAATCAGATGACCTTGGAAAAGTCATGAAATCTTTGCTTTCCTATTCCTGTGTGTAAATAGAGCCTAGTAAGTAGAGCTGTTGAGGGGAGGAGTTTGTGAAAGCATTCAGTACAGAAGCTGCAACCTGGTAGGAACTGATGCAATTGTTAAGACTGTTACAATTGCCTACGTCACTGGGTTGTAACGTTGCTTTATGGCTAAACTATGTGGCATATTTGAGTGGTATGTTCAGAAATTAGCAAGCTCACATAAGTTATGCAGGAAATATTTCATGGTTCCCAGGAGGTGGGTGATAAAAGAGTGTAGCCAGAATAAGCACTAAGGACTACACCTTAGGATGGCATTACATTTGACTTGTTTCATACTGCATTTCCAGAATCTAGCATGCACCAGCAACACAGGAATTTAAATAACTAAATACATGGAAATATATATGTATACCTGAATTCCCAAGCATTGCCCCTGATGTAAAGGTCCTTAAATCTTTGAGATATTTCATGTAATTTGATTCCACATCATGTCTTAGAGAAAATCCTGGCTCTTCTATGACATGTGAAATTCTAGTGCCAATTAATAAGGTATGTCAGTCAGAAGTCAAAATCAATACATTTATCCCCCTCTTCAATCATTCATTTATTCAACAAATATTCATTGAGTACCCCACAGTATGCCAGCCCATCCCCAGGAATGTAATCGCATCCCTTGGTCATTTGGAGTTTGGGATCTAAAGAAGGACAGGATGGTGGGGAAGGTCTTCCTTGTAGGGCTCCTTGAATCCTCAGAGAATGATTTATATTTATGTCATAATTTTGTCTGAAGCTACTCTTAAATATAGGCTATGAGTGCTTATAAGCAAAGCCCCACTAAAAGGTGAAAAATCCAGGCACTCATTCACAAACCCACAGATAGTCATAGATGTTGAAAGCAATGTACCACATTTGGAGCCCTGAATGTGCATCTGCGTAAAAAGAAATAAGATCAACTTGATGTCATGTTTGGGAACCGCATTTGTAAATGGGTGTAATTCGTCTCTAAGTTCTTTCGAGATAAGCTCCAATTCTTAACAAGCCCCTGAATGCTAGAGTTTTCATTTAGATCTTGCATTGTCTTAAAAGATAGGGATGACTCTCACCGCTAGAGAGTTCCCTATTGATTACATGATTGAGGAACACAAAAGTCTGTTATTCTTCTGAAGTCGATTGTAATTTAGGCTCATTATCTCCCTGCAGATGTTCCCGTTGCAAATGGTGACAGAATCAAAATGTAAATGCTCCAATGAAAACGTTCAGGGATTCTTTTACCTTCTGTGCTTGCTTCAGAAATTGCGGCAGGGAAAAAAGCGCAAAAGAGATTTGATGCACTGCCTACCATCTTGACCAAGGGAGAGAACTGAGATTCGCTTCATCAGGCCCCTGCTGAGAAGTCACAACCATCTCTCCCTAACTTTTAACAACCGGTTTATTATATTTATATTGAATTGAATGGAAGAGTAGTCTATTATGCCTTTAAAAAAAAAATGAATGACATCAGCCATGTCCGTGGCTCTATGTGGGATTCTTAGGAATAAAGAAGCTCAGGACAAATTGTGGTGGATTTGTTTTTCCTTTTCCATCTTGCTTCAGGGAAACTTCAGAGACTCATCAGTGACATGCTAAGTCTTCAAGGGTGTCCCTTTGATTACAATTTTAGGGAAATGCTTACATTTCAACAAGGTAAACGTCGCTGAAGTGAACCAGTCATTTGTATGTAAGACCACTAAGATGCATAACCTATCCTTGGCTTCTGTAGGTATGATGAATTGCTTCATTTCAACAAACAACTTGGCATACATTTATCAGCACTACACATTGTGCAAATGAAGCATAAAATACAAAGACTTCTAGAAAACACCAGTGTAAAGTATCTGGTGATTTCAGAGTTGCTTCTGACAATACTTGTATTGATGTGAAATCATATATTAACTTCGATATTCACTAAACACATAACAGCTAAGGGAAAACGTACTCATCTTAAGCTCCAAATTTATACAATGTACTGAAACTCGTTGAAATGACCATTTTCTCATTATAAGGGTGAGATGGTTTCCTTTTATGAGAATTTGTGGCATCTCCTGAATAGCTTTAATATTTCTTTGTTAAATGATAACTAAAATATATGTTTATTACATTTTTTCTTATAAAAATGAGAACTATCTTTCAAACTGAATAATATTCATATAGTCTCCACTTAGTTCTTTTTTGCCATGCTTGTCCCTTTTATTGACCTATTTTATATAACGTTGTGGGTCCTTGCTGACCCCTCCCCCAACCTCTCTCTAGTAAAAAATGATGTTTTCCAGGATGGGAACCTGTTACCACAACAGGATAGTGTTGAAATAAATTGGTGTAGCTCTCGGGTTTCTCACTCTTTGTCACCTGGTGGGTGATGCACTATCTAGAGCAGGAAGAAATTGCTATTGACAGTAGTACCACCCAACGGCGTGAAATAAAACGTGCTGGGAAAATCTAATTGGTTTTGTTTAGTTTCAAGAAGACAGCCTGCAAACCAAGCTTCACAAATTTCTATGCTGGAGGACTATCTGAAATATCAAGTTTGTTGTATCTTTGGAGGGGGACAGACCATTTTCTGCATTTGAAAAAAACGGACATGTTAAAATACCTGGCTCTATTTCAATGGTTTAACTTGGCAGTTAATCTTGTTTTTTTTTTTTTTTGTGTGTGTGTGTGTGTGTGTGTGTGCATGTACATTTTTGTGCTTAAGGTGTTTAAGTGCCCAGATAGTTATAGCTTCCTTCCTTTACATTATGGAAAAACCAGATTAGGAGCCCAGATTTGCCCTAAATTAAAAAGTATCGTGTGTACAGGAAGCACTAATAGCGCTTTGTGAAAGCTGAAAAATCTGATTACATATTTGCAAATGGAAATATGCAAAATGAAACACATTTGCCTTTGGAGGAAGCAATGTCTATCATTCACAATACTAGTATCGCTGAGTTCCACATACCTCGATGTAAGAGGGCCAATACCTTTGATATTAGACTGTCAAAAATATGCAGTTTGCATTTAGGGAAACTGATGGAAACTTTGTGTGATACATCCCCTTGGATATATATCTATGTGTACCTTTTATAAATCAGTTTTATAAATCTCCAAGATTTAAAATATCAAATAGATATCTATGAAAGCACATCAATGTGTGCAGGATGGGTTTAGACTTCTCCAAAGTTTATGAATAAAAATAAATAAATAAAATTTCACAAGAAAATATGGAGGGCAGGTTATATATCAAGTGAGGATGAGTTCATAAAGTGGAGATAATCTCTTAGCAGGATAGTAACCTTTGGTAAATATAGAACAAATGTACTCTAATCTTATGTATTTTGTGGAATAAATGTACATTATACTCTGTTGAAATAAATAATTGATATAGGCAATGCTTAAATTTTTAAAAAGGACAACATTGAGTTACAACCCTTGTTTCTAAAAATTAAAAGTCCAGGTAAAATATCCTACTCTGTTAATACAGCCAGAAATTGATAAAAACAGAAAATAGAGAGCCAATTGTTTCTAGGTTCTGCAGAGATTACGTAGGATAAGAACTTGCCATTTTCAAGAGGACAGCAGAGGTTGAGTTTGTAACTAAATCCAATTCCAATCCTGACAGCTCAGCAATATAGACTATGGAACAGGTGAGGGCAAGGGACAATGTGCAGGTTCCTTTCAAGTGGCCACAACCTTGAACTGATGCAGTTTGAACTATAGCCTAATGAAGGGTTTGCTAATCTCTGGAAGAGCCTTAGACTAAAGATTCACATCATCCTAGCCCTCTGGTGATTTGTTCAAAAGTCACAGACTTTATTCTTACACCGCTTTAGTCTGAAGACTGGAAAGTTCTCTCCCTCAACATACCGAGAGTTTCCACTGCCATGAATGGAAGGTCTGAGTAGGTAAAAAGCAATGAACAGGGGGCTGGTGCCCAGAGGAGGAAGATGTTGAATTGCCTTGGTAAAGAATGGATACACCAGGTGTTCACAGCTTTGTGATGGGTGCGGTTATTGGTGTTGCCCTTTCCCTTTTCCTATGTGCTGGGATTCTGGAGCACAATTCCAAATTTGTGACTGTCTGATGACTGACCCGGTAGCTTTTCTTCAGGGCCTAAAATGGGGGAGAGGGGTGGAGAGACAGTGGAGAGAAATCAGTGATTAGGATTCATTTTTAAACTATAAATCACTAAAAACATCAAGAGTATGCACTGTATCTTTTAAGACAATAAATCACTAAAAACATCAAGAGTATACATGGTACAAATGTCTTAGTTACTGTTCTATTCCATCACCAAGGCACCTTATAAAAGAAATCTTTTAATTGGGGGATTGTTTATAGTGTTAGAGGATGAGTCCATGACCGTCTTTGGGGACAGTATTGCATCAAGCAGGTGGAAATGACAGAGGAGCAGTAGCTGAGAGCTTACATTTTCTCCATATCAGGAAGCAGGGGGTGGAGGACTAGGCCTGGTAGTAATCTTTTGAAACCTCAAAGCCCACCCTGTATGACATACCTCCACCAACAAGGACACACCCCCTTAAACCCTCCAAAAATAGTTCTACCATCTGGGAACCTAACATTCAAACATACGAGACTATGGGGGTATGCTGGACGGTTTTGTGTATTTGATATAGGCTCGATTCATTTGAGAGGAGGGAACCTCAATTGAGAAAATGCCTCCATAAAATCAGGCTGTAGACAAGGCTGTGTGGGGCATTTTAGTGATTGATGGGGAGGTGCCAGCCCATTGTGGGTGATGTCACCCCTGAGCTGCTGGTACTGTGTTGTGGAATATTTAACTATGTAAAGGTGTGTTACATTTGTTTATGCTGCATTTGTTTAACGATGTAAGGATGCATGATTAATTATGTAAATGTGTTGCATTTGTTTCACCTTGCCTGCTTAAGGCACCTGATTGGTCTGTTAAAGAGTTGAATGGGCAATAGCTAGGCAGAGAAAGGATAGGTGAGGCTGGCAGGCAGAGACAATAAATAGGAGGAGAAATCTAGGCTCAGGAGAAGAATGAGTGAGAGAAGAAGAGAATGAGAGAGAAAGAGAGGGACATGCCCGGGGCAAGAATTCAGGCAGCCACCAGCCAGCCAGACACTGGAGGAAGCAAGAGAAAGTAAGACAGACATAAGGAAAGAAAATTAAAAAGCCCTAAGGCAAAAGGTAGATAAAGAGAAGCAAATTAATTTAAGTTAAAAGAGCTAGCCAGAAGGGAGCCCCAGCTAGGCTGAGCATTCATAACCAATAAGAAGTCTCTGTGTTATGATTTGGGAGCTAGTTGGTGGCTCAAAAGAAAAAGCCTGGTACAGTCCCGGGGGCTATACGAAAGTAGGAGGAGCAAGCTATGAAAAGCTAGCCAGTAAGCAGCACTCCTCCATGGCCTCTGCATCACCTCCTGTCTCCAGGTTCTTGCCCAGTTTGAGTTCCTGACTTGGCTTCTTTTAGTGGATTCGGGATATGTAGGCCAAATAAACCCTTTCCTCCCCTCAAGTGGCTTTTGGTCATTTTGCTTCATCACAGCAATAACCCTAACTAAGACAGTGGGCCGTTCTCATTCAAACCACCAGAGTGGGAATGGCTTGGATTATTTGGGTCATCATTGTTCATTCACGGTCTTCCAACATGAAAAAGCAAAACAAAACACCACCAACCATCAACCTGTTATGAAGGAAGTAACTGATGAACATGACAGGAAACGCCACAGCATTTCCTCAAAATGAAACAAAGAATTTCAGCTTGGTAACGTTTCAAATACTTAACATTTCTTCCTGTCGGTGCTAGATGATTCTAATTCTCTCCACGCAGGCAAAAGATACAAGCCACGTTCATAGTGTGGCTATAATTAGTACAAGACCATGTAGTAATGCCTTTTCCGAGATACAAGCCTGCAAAGCCCATGACTGACCAGTTGGAAGCACCAATATCCCTTTTCTGAGGCAGAAATTAAGTCCTCCTTCAGGGTCAGCCTGACACTACATAGAACAGGCAGTGCGGTTTGTCTGACCAGATTTGAGTGTGCTGCTTCCCTGAACCCCGCCCTCAGAACTGCCGCTCTTCCGCTACTACAGACTCACTTCTCCCAATCCTTGCTTTAAAAGACGCTGCTATTTTTACTTCTAGTAATGCCAAAAAAAAAAAAATTTAATTAATCGCGCAAAACAGATTTTCAAAAAAATTATTCTGCCTATTTCTGACCGACCCACCGGCTGAAAGTCGTCTAGTGATGTGCCAGCAACCCCGTGGGCTACAGAACAGACAACAGACATGTAAGGGGCCACCGTGCAGAAGCAAATTGCCTTCCTGCGTTGTGTAAAGCATGAATGCCATGACTGACATTTTTACCCACTGCAGCATCGGTAACAACAGTATTATCATGACTGAAATGTATTAAATGGTCACACATTAACGTTTTTTATTGTTTTATTGAGTTTACATATTTCCCTTTTCATATTTAATCTCTACAAGAGTGTATTTTACTGAAGGTTAGACTGACGGCTCTCTACAGTGACAGAGCTAGAGATTTTTTATTTTTTTAATTTTTTTGTTTTGTTTTTCAAGACAGGGTTTCTCTTTGTAGCCCTGGCTGTCCTAGAACTTCTTAACATTTCTTCCTGTCCGTGCTAGATGGTTTGGACATGGCTAACTGTAAGCAATGTAAAATTGCATCTCCAGGAAGTTCATGAATATGAGGTAGAAACAGCAAATACTAAGTTTGAGTACCTTTGAGCAGTAACACAGTGTTTCAGGGTAGTGAGGAATAAGAGGTGTGGAAGCCCATATTTTTTTTTTTCAGTTTAAATTCTGCTCTGTCATTTTCTAGTTGTAAAATGTTCCATATATTTAAAAATCATTACATGTCTTTTTCATGACTTAAAAAACAACTGAGATGTAGTTAGGCATTATGGGGCTACTGTGAAGCATCATTTAATATGTCTGAATCACTCAGAGGGGTTCTTTGCTTGTATCGTTTCATAAACATTAGCATTCTCGTTATGCCTGCTCCCAATTTCTGCTTGATGGACTCTGGACTCCTTTTTTTTTTTTTTAACCTTTATCAGGTTGCCTTATGGGATTTACTGCTTCCAGTGGCTGGGTCAGTGGTTTTGGCAACTATTCCTTGGTATTAACAGGGGGCAGAGGAACATTTCAGAAAGGGCAAAGTAAAAGAAACAGATCTAAAGAGCAGAAGGTAGGGTCAGCCACTATGCCAGCCACTGTGTTCATCTGTGGGAATTTGTGGTGGTTTCGTAGCTGGTGAATTCTTCATCCTATCCTTGCCCAACAATGGAGGGAAGGAACAGGCTTTGGTCTTGGGATGTTTCTTGGAATATTAATATCTGAAATATTGTTAGTGTTCCTCTTCTTTTTGTTCTGTGAAAATCCAAATGTGTACATGAAATCATGTTTTAAAACTAAAAATCCATATAAGATGAATAAACATAGCACTTTCTCAAAAAGTGCCATGACATGACAAATCCTATAATCATATTTTCTGTTTAGATTCCTTTCATGTAACTGTGGAGTATTCCTATTTTTACATTTTTGGACATGGGATCTAATCTTCTCACTTAACAAACACAGAAGTGAGGGCGAAAGACAATTTTAGTTTGGCAGAATCTAAAATTCAAGTAGGTATGAAAGACAAGCCCCGCACAGCTTACATTCCATCTGGTTTTCTTTTTTATCCACTTCCCATTCATAGTGACTCCATGATTTCTACCTTCTCAGATAACATACATTACTTCTGATTTTGACAATATCAAGTTATATTTCATCCAATAAGCTGTGAGACTGTATCTGACAAATATTCTAATTTGATTATCTGGTCTTGGTTTGAATGACAACAAAAACAAAAAAATCCAAGATCTGTTTCCAGTTAAATAGATTTAATAAGCTTGAAAATTCTTAAAAACAACTGTAGTATAACTTAGTAAGTGTTGTAAATCTTTTCTGACTCCCTCAAGATCAAGTTAATTAAAAATTAAGCAAGAGCTAATATGGGTCGTTTTGACTGAATTCACTATAAATCCACGGGTGCCACAAATTGGGTGTATTCTCATTGTTCTTGAAATGGTCACTACCATTTAATCTCAAGGGGCAGACACTGTTTACTACAATATCTCTCTTGACGGGCATAAATACAAAATTCATGCTCAAGCAAACAGAACTCTTCTACATCCTATGTAAACAACAAAAGACAACCTGTGCTTTTTTTTCTGGTTAAATATGTAAGTGAATTTCTAATGAGCCATAGGAAATCTTGAGGTGACTTAATGAAGACTGAATAGGGAATAGAAATCCAAATGGTTGTCTATGTCAAATTGTGTATTTCCAAAGATAATTGAAGTAGCAAAACATGAACAGCTTTCAGTAAGAGCTCAGAAGTCTGATTGACACATATTGCTTTCAAAACACCCCCAGACAATTTTACTTGGGGTTAACATCATAAATCACTCAGGAGAATAGGTATGAGCTTGTATTACCAGGAATATAAGAAACACTAGCATTAGTAGAAAGCATGCTAGTGGTTGATTAGAGAATCATGAATTTCCTCTATTACCAAAAAGACTTTTTGATAGAATTCTGAGAACAGAGAATGGGTAACTGAGGAGAAGACTTTAGGCAAAATGACTAGTCCATGTCTATTCATGGTATCTATCCCAACCACATAGTCTAATTTAATCCATCTCTTGCTTGGATCACTATATTTTAACCTTCCAACTTGTCTCTTCCCATTATAACCTGGTAATGCTCTATTGTCACAGAAGTCAAATTACCTTTATGGAGCATAAATCAAGTTATGCCACCTTTTTGCTTAAAAACCTTCATAGTCTCCCATTGCAATAAAATCTAATTTCTCTCAGGGGGTAGAGAGGCTTTCTGTACCCAGTCCCCGTGTATCCTTTGACATCACAATCCACCACTGTCATTATCACTCATTGTTCTCAACTCTCAAGGTCTTCTTTCTGTTCTTCAAATAGCAAACCACTCATACACAAGCACACTGCCCATTTTCTCTCTTATAATCTCCTCGGGGGATGCTCCTTGGCATTTAGTTTAATCTCAGATGCTATCTCTTTTGAGGGGTCTGTGTCTAGAGTAACCTCTTAGCCATAGTCTAAACAGCCTTAGTTAACTTTTCAAAAGATTGTTCTCCAAAGGATGTTGACTTATTTTCTTGCTTATATATTAATTATCCCCTCTTAGCAGAATGTAGCCTCAGGAAGATAAGGTGTTACCTCTGGATCTCACTGTAGATGGCCTGGCCACAGTTGTGTCAAAAGACATCTGGTGTTGGAGCAAAATACTTTTGGGGCAAGGAATATAATTTTAAAAAATGTATGTACATGTGCATGTATTTCATTATTTATTTATGTGTGTGTGTGTGTGTGTGTGTGTGTGTAACTGTCTGTATATGTACTCTGTATGTGGTGTACTCTCAGAAGCCAGAGGAGAGGATCAGAAACCTTGGAGCTAGAACTACAATTGGTATGAGCTCTGTGATGTAGGTATTGGGAATCAAACCCAGGTCCACTGTAAAATCAGTAAGTGCTCTTAACTACTAACTCATTTCTACAATCCCTAAAATATACTTACAAAGAAAACTTGCTATGTAGATTTTCTGCTGTGAATGTGCTGCTCTGATTGATTGATAAATAAAATGCTGATTGGTAAGTAGCCAGGCAGGAAGTATGGTGTAGGCAGGATAAGGAGAAAAGAGAATTCTGGGAGGTAGAAGGCTGAGTCAGGAGACGCTGCCAGCCGCCACCACCACCACCATGAAAAGCAAGATGTAAGGTACCAGTAAGCCACAAGCCACGTGGCAACTTATAGATTAATTAGAAATGGGTTAATTTGAGATATAAGAACTAGATAGCAAGAAGCCTGAGCCATTAGGCCAAACAGTTTAAATAATATAGGTCTGAGTGGCTGCGGGTCTGAGCAGGACTGGAGAAAACTCCAACTACAATTTTCTTTTTCACAAGTGTCATTTTTTTTTAAAAGGCATGTTTCATGTCTCAATCAATATTTCTCTTAAGCAAACAGCAAACCAATATGGAAAAATGAAAAACCATCATCACCTGTTGTCACTTTTCTAAGAACATTTGAATGTCCTTACCAAGGCACATTGAAAGACATTGTGGTACACAAATGCCTAATGATAAAATTGCTCTTTTCCAGTGAGCAGCTTGGAAAATATAAAAATAACTTCAGAGCATCTTACACTGCCAGAAAAGGAGCCCAAATTCCAATCTACTTATTAGCGGTGGCTGATCACAGCTTCAGACTGCTCATCACAATGTTGTGGCTTGTGGTGGTTTGAATAGGAATGGCCCCAAAAGACTGATATCTTTAAATGTTTGGCTCATAGGGAGTGGACTATTAGGAGGTATGGCCCTGAAGTAGGTGTGACCTTGTTGGAGGAAATGCATCACCATAGGGACAGACTTTGAGGTCTTATATGCTCAGGCTAGGCCTAAAGTACCAGTTTCTGCCTCCTGTCTGTGGATCCAGATATAGAACTCTCAGCTTCTTCTCCAGCACCATGTCTGCCTGCACGCCACCATGTCCCACCCTGATGATAATGGACTAAACCTCTGAAACTGTAAGTCACCACAATTAAATGTTTTTCCTTCATAAGAGTTACCATGGTCATGGTGTCTCTTCACAGCAATAGAACACTGACTAAAACGTGGCTTTAATGATAATTTCCTTGAAAGGTCCTTCAGAGGCTTAGGGATATGTGATAAAGGTGTCCCTGACACATAGTACACACTTCAAAGGTGGCAACTTTTACTATGAATAATTTTTTTCTTCAATTTTCTTGAAAATATATGCAAACCTTGATTTATCGTTTCTTGTTGTGAAGTGGAATTTGGGAGAAGGTAGAAGAGTCAGATATATTTGAAACCCTTAAGTATGTCAGATTGTGTTGACTATCATTGTGCTACTTCATTCTTAATGTGGAACACATTTCCAATACACTATGTCTCTCTGATCTAAAGTATATGTAGCCAGGTATAGCACTAGAGTATTGTGGAGCTTGTATACTGGGTAAAAACTGCTAGTCAAGGGGACTAGAATCAACTCCCATTCCTGCATTCATCTGGGTTGGCAAAGAGGATACATCACCCTAGTTTATAAAAACGCATCATGGATTCAGTAGCTACCCATGCCAGAGCACATTATTTTCCAAAATATCTTGCCTAAGCAGAGGCTGTAGCTGAATGACACATAGAAATGGAATAACCCGTTTATATTTTCGGACACCATCACCTTTCATTTGATTAATTTTCCCTGGAGTGTCTATTACACCTGACAGTTTTATTTCAGTTGGCCCAGGAGCTGTCTTTCAGGAGTGAGGTGCTTGCGCACCAGGAGGAGGAGGGTGAGTCTCACCTATGACATGTGGTTTTGTTGTGGCTGCTGTTGCTGCTGCTGCTGCTGCTGTTGAATGAGCAATTGCTGCTGCTGCCGACGCCGAGCTGTCCGAAGCTTTTCGAAGCGAGCCTCCATCTCCTCCAGGACTTTCGGGGTATATCGGACCACTAGCTTCACGCTGTCCTTCGCAGCCTTGAGAAGTTCCACGGCTTTCTCATGATGCTCCCCTTCCACACTCTAAAACAGATAAGGAGAGAACTCACAAGGCTGAGATAGGAGGGTTGCTTGGGAGTTCAAAGTGAATCTGGGCTGCATTATAAGCTTCAGGTCAGCCTGACTGACAATGTGAAAACCCTATTTCAAAAACCAAAACCGAGGGGCTGGTGTTGTATCTCAGTTTGTAGGGTACTTGCCTAGCAGGATGATGCCCTGGAGTCTATCGGTATCACATACAACCATAGTTGGTGGGACATGCTACTCCCCAAACAAAATCATCAGAAGCTCAACTCATTCTTGGCTATATAGTAAGTTCAAGATCATCCTAAGGTACAGGATATCATATTTAAAACAAAACAGAACAAAACAACAACAACAACAACAACAATAATAATAATAATGAAGAACACTAACCTACAACAAAATCCTATAAAACCCTGGACAAAACATCTGAAGTCTGCAACTTCCAGAAGACAC